AGATAGTCGCCGTGTTTCCCAAGTTGGCTGCTTTCTCCATTGTTGTGGCTACTCTATTTCAGTAGTTGCATATATCGTTTTTGGCTGATCGTGTTGCTTCTCATCAGAGATCGCTATAAGCGGAGGATTCAGCTCGGCGTGCCTCTCTGGCGGCATTAGCTAACTGGATGGTGTGTTCGCATACCCAGTCCTTCAGGTGACATGACCCAGTGCCTAGTTTATGTAGAGCAGCTTGTTGTACCGATGACTTCATCCTGGTCCACTGAGTTTCAACCGAACTCTCTGTGTTTCCTTGCCTCAGTCAGTGGAAGAGCACAGGATGCGTCGCTTCCCGGGAACGCCGTAGCATGATTAGCAACAAGACAAGTTGAGTGAATATGCATAAAGTTTCTTGGGAGTTAGGTACAGGACACGTCCCCAGCGTTACTTGGCTTTGGGTCGAGGTGGCATCTCTATCCTTTGCATATCCAAATACTAACTGCAAGGCGGCATGAAGGTAGTCCATGGTTGCCGGTGGCCCTCTGGGTGAGGGGGGAGCTCCCAAGCCTTTGAGTTTCTAGCTGAATAGGGGTCCATGCATATCTGATGAGTACGGAGTCATTGCCTCGATCGTTGAGTTGTGAAGCCGAATTCGTCCGCCCAACACGTACGTTAAACACATACTCGTCGGGAGTTGAGCTCCCGGTTACCCTCAACCTGGTTTGGTCCGCCTGTCGAGCGGTTTACCGGTGTGTCGCCTCTTCTGCATCCAAAGAGCTTCTTGGAGCCACAGGCGAGTGCTGAGCACCTGGTGGGGACCAAAGAACGGAGGATTCCACAGAGGGGCCTACAGCCCTCCGAATCAGAGGTGCTACTCCTACCGGGTACCCCATATACCATATTGAGGTTAATTTCTCGTTTATGTGCGATGGATTGATGGGAGCAACCACTTGTTTGTCTTTCTGTGTGTGACGGAGCTTAGATAAAAAAAAATAGGGAGACAAGTAATACTCCACTGTTTTGCCAGTACTTCCTGGGTTTTAAATCTGCCGTCGGGTTCCGGTACTGATGCTGTTACATAAGTACGTTGCTTCGCTGCTTGTGGACTGCCATGTCCTCTTCTTTTTATTCAAGTAAGTTATGGTGATGATAGGTCGGCATTCGTTGAAATAACTTGGTGCGCAAACTGGTATACATTGTGCACGCTGCACCATTCCTAATACACACAGCTCACCTGGTTGAGTGCGTTTTATACCTCACTCTGACCCCTAATGTTGCTTTCGTTAAGTTTTTGAACAAATTTTATGTAATCAACATTCCCTCTATCATGCATTTGTCATAGTTCTCGATGGCATAAACGAGGACTTCTCTCCGGATTTTTTATAACGGAAATTGCCTTCGTTTTCGAATCTTGCTCCCGTTTTCCTCCGACGTTTTTACTGCCTCTATACACCATCTGTCTAAAAGTAAATGCGTTCGCATACATCCAACACGAGAAAACAATAACAACAATGGATCAAATAATCTACCGTAGATTTCTTCTCCAGTGTGAACTTAGAGGATCATTGTACAACTTGATCTAAATTGGTAGTTACACATACTTGGCTGTGCTCATATATTGATATTTAAAGCTCAGATATTGATACTTAGTGTATACTTTCATAATTCGGGTACGGTTCAGCGAACGTTAATCGTTGCTTGACAACCTATCAGTAGCATATATTTTACTCATTTGGATTTTAAACGGGTAGTTGCGCTGATCGTTTTCTTTGTTTGCTCTTGTGCATTAATTTTCCTTTTTCTTCCCTTTTCCACAGCTATGCAATTCAGCATCTGAGATATCGCGGCAAAAAGTGCATCCAACAATATGAGTGAGTTACCTCAGCTTTGTTCGTTTGTGCGATTTTGTGGATAATACATATCTTGATTCCTGCTTCTGGCTGATTCTGTCTCAACATTTCCCGCACCCGCATATCTTCAGTAGCTTCGTTTTGAATGATTTATGATTTGTACAGCATCGGATCCAAAATTGGAACGACTTTTTGCTCAAGAAATTGTGCATCGTGCTCATAGCACCGCATAGGAATCCACCAGTTGGGTCGATGGATTCGCACTATTGATGCTACCCAACCAGGTCGAAACAACTATCCAGTGCTTCCCAGCTTTTCAGTGCATGCTTCATTTGCTCTTTGCACGACGAAATTCACTGCATAACCGTAAAAGAGATCATGCTAGGAGTTGGATAAGTAAGAGATCAAATAGTGGTTATTGACATCACAGTTGCGGGCTTGTTAAAGTGTCTGTGTCAAGTTTCGTTATGTGGGGGAAAAAATCGGTGCTCTCTGTATGTGTGAGTGAGTGGCATCAAACCAGTTACCCGGTGATTGATCTTCGTTCCATGGATTGACGCCATTTGGGTAGTAATTGATGATTAATTATGCTGTAATTTTCACACTGAGTTATTTTTACTCACATTCTGATTCTCACTGATTGGATAGCGCCTTTTTACGAAATTGTCATATATGTGAAATAATGTACTAACGAGCCTGTCGTTGTTAAAAAGGATGGCATGTGACTGATGTAGGTATGAAATCAGACGTTTGTGCAAAGTATTTTTGTTTTTGTTATAATATTCCCTTATTAACTTACACCTCTTGTGTGATTCAGACACATCAGCAGGAGCGGGATTGGCCGGACAGGTCTGGGAGGTGGCGGCACTAGTGGATTTCATTCTGGTGGACGTCGTGTGGCTGGTCCGTTGCTACGACCGTCTATTACTCCCGTAGTGGCGGTTCATCTGAGCGGTGACTCAGCTCCCGTTAGCTTTTTGGACCCGAAAGATGTCTCGAACCAGTCCGGTCCTAATGCAAATTCCGAGGAGAACGAAGCCAGTATGTCCGCGTTTTAGATGTGAATATAGCATGTACCTTTATAACTTATCGGCATTGGTGCACACTCCACTTCATTTTACTTTATTCTTCCTCCTATTTTGTATACCTGCCACTTCTAGCTTCAAAGGTTTTACTGGAAGCGAATTTGGCCACAGAAGCCGGTTTAATCGTATTGGATTTGTTGAATACGTTCACCTCTGTGTTCAAGGTCAGTTTTTGTTTTCATTACTCTGAGTGTGTCCACCAATCAATCAGTATGTTTTTCTTTTTCTCGAGCTGAGTCGTTGCTATTTGGACTGTCATCAATATTCTGACCGATTGCAATGTGGTATGGTGCAGATCTACCCAATTCCTTTGCTTGACTAACAGAGAACTGTTCGCGTTCAAAAATGTGGTAAATATACAGGCACTAATCCGCTTAGACCACGAACTGCGCGGATCGACTCGACTACGAATGAAAAATAGCAGATTGTGTCCTGATTGCCAACTTCTCTGTGGTCACGAGTATGGTTGTCTATTCGTCAAACTTTATTTCACCGGCAAAGGTAAACAAATAGACACAATAGACACAATAATCGACATGATCGTCGTGACTAAATGGATACCTACGCAAACGGTTCTCATATGAACAAACAAATCACGTGATTTGAACTCAAAAATCGCTCTGTTAGTAAATATTGGCGATGTGCGTTTCGGTCAATCCCTAATGCCTTCAGATTTTGCTCCGATTTTTCTGCTCAAGTCGATATCCTGAAATGACCTGAAATTTTTAGTGTGATGACCGGAAACAAGAGCTAGAAAATTCCGTTGTTAGGATTCATCAGTTTTGTCCCAATTTGTGTATTTCTGACGTGATGTACTTTCCTCAATTCTTTCAGAACCCGTTCTGTCCACATGCCAAAACATGATCATGTTGATTTTTCCAGGCTCACAATCAAAGTCTGTGATCGATATTTTCAGACTTCTTTCGGTGGCTAAACTTAAAGCCCCACTGTCATTCTCGTAGATCTGTTCGCACAGTGCCCCCCATCCGATTCCTTTTTTATTAGACACCCTCGTATTATGAACGGAGCCACCAAATCTCTAACAAGTTTCATTCAATCATCTTTAAATAGAGATAGAGGAAGGCCATCGAAGTCCGGCGGTTTCTGACAACTAAAAGCTTGGATCTCCTTACGAATTTTGCCTCAGCAGGTGGGTCTGTTAAAACAGTCCACGGGACATGTGTCAGAATGGCTGTGTGAGAAGCTGACCCCGGTGACCAACTAAACTGTGTTTTGAAGTGCTCCACCCTGTATGCCAGATGTTGGTGTTGACTATGAATGGGCGAACCGTCAGCTTCGGAGATTGTTTCGCCCACACCCAAAGCTTTCCTACCGGTAACCCGGCTGAGATAGAACAGTTTATGGAAGTTTCCCATGACGGTAGCATCTTCCATCTATGATGCACTTTGAGTCCATCAGATTTCGCGGTTTCTACGTAGACTTGCTTCGAGGTTACGTTTCGTTGCGAGTCGTATTTCATTATGCTCGCTGCCGTTCGGTATTGATCGGCGTGCGTCGAGAAGGCACAGAGACTCCGCAGAAATTGTGTTGCGGCATGACATCTCTGAAGACAAGTTAATAAGTCAGTAGAATGCATAGGATTTTTGATAAGTGACTAGAGTTGACTAACACCATTGCATACGGTTGATTCTAGCTCTTCCGCTAGCCCTTTTTGGAAATCAAACGAGTTTGTCCGGACAGCTTACCACAGTCTAATCATCGTTGTACCGTGCATTGACAACGCCTACCAAAGCACAGGGACAGCCTGGTGGATACCAATACGTGGCCGGACTCAGCACGATCGACAGTCTTGTATGCATTTCTGCCATTTGTGGCTTGTAACAATAGGGTCTATTTGCATTCGTCGCTGACTCGAGGAGAGCGATC